GATTTTTTTTGTGTTTTCCTTTAATAAAAACAATAAAAGTTTCTTTGAAAAAAATAATAATTTCATGTCCTGTAGCTTTAAGGTGCTGGAAAAGGGAGGAAGTTTTTTCTTTTTTTTTTCTTACTGCGTTCTTGTGTTCTGCTATGCCAACATCTTAAGAAACCCCAAAGACAAAATCCAGCTAGAAAACCAAGGAGTCTACAAAATACCATGCAAAATCTGCCCTGCAACATACATAGGACAAATGTACAGGAAAATAAATGCATGCTTGCCAAAATGTTGCCAAGACAATCTCAATCTTACATGGGAAAATACCCGGACATAACTATTTCTAGATAGGGATCAATGTTCACCTGCCTAAAGGTAGCTGTTTACATGTGCCTCTGTCTGATACTTTTTCTCCTGATTGACTTTAGGGAAGCGGTTTGGGACCTGGTACTTACAATATCAAAAATAGTATGGATGAGATGTTGAAACGTGTGGTCAGTATTCGAGGCCCCTATGAAACCTTCACTGGCAACAGATCAAAGCCTATGGTTTCTGGACATTTTGCTGGTGATGTATGTGTTCTCCCTTTTCTGCTTGCAAAGAGTTCTCCAAGAGTTTGGTTAGTGATATGTAGACTTCCCCAACTGAATGCTCATCAGATTTATTAGATTAACACTTTGATCCATGATAGCCATTGGCCATGTTGCCTATGGATGATCAAACCTGTAGGTAAAGATTTGGGAAGACACCAAATTGGGGAAGGCTACAATTTGACTGAGACAACTTCAACAATGGAGTGAATCCTTTCTCCCACTCACTTAAAAAAACCCTCTAGGACAGGGTATCCAATCTTGAAGACTTTTGGATTTCAACTTCTCCAGCCAATAGACTCTACGATTTTAAGAAGAATAGAATTAAGAAATTTTCTGGTTGGGAATTTTCTTTTTTAAAAAAAGTGATAAATGCTGTAATATTATAACTGAAACAAATAATGAGAGTCAAGTTACATTTTGCAATCCTGTATTAGATATGCATTCTATGAGACCTACACTCAGCTATTTAAGGAAGTTTAGATTCAGAAAACTGAATATTTCAGTGAAAATATCACACTGTGTTTCCCTGACAGGAAGACAACGCTGAATTTAAGACCATTTTCAGAAAAAGGAAGATCAGAAAACAGAATGTTTAATAATGGGTTTATTACTACTCTGGAGGGGTGCTAAAACTGTGCTTCAAAGGAATCTGAACAACAGCTGACAAGTGTGGTGAAGCAGCAGAAAAAGAAGTGACTTGGGACATCCTTACCATAACGCTTGCATCAAGCTAGGCTGCTTTTGATCCCTGGTTTAGCACTCTTCCAGAGCAGTAGTAAATTTATATTCAAGAGAAGCACGAGTAAAAGCTGAAGTCAAATGAATATAACCAGATCACACACATGTCTTTCAGCTATTTGGTTTCAGTCTGGTTTCAAGCTTGCAGTAGTTCTATGATAGATTAGAACTACCTTTTCCTGAGAGGTGGTGATGTTAAGAGGTGATGGTGGAGAATAGGCTTCGTGGCATAGGAAATGACCAGTGGTGGGATTCAGCCAGTTCACACCTCTTCAGGAGAACTGGTTGTTAACTTTCTGAGCAGTTTGGTGAACTGGTTGTTGAAAGAAATCATTAGGGGAGAGAACCGGATGTTAAATTATTTGAACCCCACCACTGGAAATGACTGCATCATCCTTTGGCAGAATAAATTACATATAAAGAAGAATATTTGTAGCTCAGGGTTGAAATGATGGGTGCTTGGTGCCCTCTGAGCTTGGCCATTTTCTTGTAAGTGTTTCATTAGTTTCATCAGATGCTATATAGTTTGAGTAATGAAACATCTGCAAGAAAACAACCAAGCTCAGAGAGCACCAAGGACATCTCCCACAAATAAATTAGAAGTGGCAATTGGAACAATCATTTCTGATGGCACACAGAGGGGAGAAAAGCAATTTAGTTGAGTCATGGGGAAAATTTTGTAGACAGCAGTAAAAGTAGATCCACAATATTACTCACATTCTAGAAGTACTGGGTGAAGTTGAA